ATTTTTTCTTTCTTTTCTTATGCTTTGGTGTCAGAGCTAAAAGCATTGCTAAATCCAAGGTTATGAAGATTTATCCCCATTTATTTCTTCTAGAGTTTATAATTTTACCTCTTACATTTAAGCCTTTACTTATTTTGAGCTAATGTTTCTATGTTGTATGAGGTAAGGGTCCAGTTTCATTCCTCTGCACATGGATAACCAATTGTCCCCCATTGTAATGTTGTCCATCCTTGTCAAAATTCAGTGGACCATAGAAGAAGGGGTTTATTTCTGGTCTCAGTTAAATCCCACTGATCTGTATGCATACCTTTTTAAAAGGGTATGCATAACAATAAAAATTGTTATTTTATTTATTTAAAATTTTTTTAAATTTAAATTCAATTAATTAACATATAATGTATTATTTACTTCAGGGTGAATGCATACCTTTACGACAGTATCACAACGTTTTCTTTACTGTTGCTTTGTATTAGATTTGAACTTTGGAAGTATGATCTTTCACCTTTGATTTTCTTTTTCAAGATTGTTCTGGCTATCTTGTGGTCCTTTGAAATTCCAGGACTGTTAGGATTAGCTTGTGCATTTCTTCCCAAAGGCCTTTGTGAATTTTCTTGGGAACACATTGAATTTGCACATCGCCTTGTGTTCTACTGCCATCTTATCAATAGTATGCTTTGTCATCACCATGGGGTGTATTCAGAATTATTTAGTTTTCCCTTACTTTCTTTCAGCAATGTTTTGTAACTTTCAGTGTATAAGATGTGTACCTTGATGACATCTATTCCTAAATATTTGGTTAATGTTGATATTCCCTAAAATGGAATTGTTTTCTTAAATTCCTTTTTGGATGATTCATTGCTAGTATATACAAATAAGAGAGATTTTTGTGTATTGATATTTTGTCCTGTAACTTTGCTGAATTAGGTAACTGGCTGTAATCATTTTTTGTTGATTCTTTAGGAAGCTCTATATAAGATGATGTCATCTCTGGTCTCTGAATAGACAGAGTTCTAGTGTTTCCTTTCACATGTGGTTGCCTTATTTCTTGGCTTATCATTCTGGGTAGAACTTTCAGTACAATATTGAGCAATAGGTGAAAACCAGCATCCTGTCTTTGTTCCTGATTTCAGAGTAGAGCTGTCCATCTTCAGACTTAAGCATGGTGTTTGCTAGAGATTTAATGAGAAAATTACTCCTTATTCCTGCTTTCATGAGTATTTATATCAGCAACAGACATTGGACTTTGGTTAGAACATTTTCTGCATCAATTAATATGAACACATGTTTTTATTTAAAAATTCATTGTGCTGTATAACATTGCTTGTTTCACTCTATTGAATAACCTTTGAGGGTTTGTGCAGAGTCACTTGCTTAGGGTGCACAGTCTATGAGCTCTTGGTTTTGCAATTCTTCTGATCTGGCTTCTTACATCTATTTTAAGAAAGGTACAGGAATGTATTTTGCTGATTTTGTGGGGTTGGTAATAGTGGTTAGGGTTAGGGTTAGGCATTAGGGATTAGGGTTAGGGTTAGGGTTAGGGTCTCCCTGTCCTCCGCTGCACAGAACCCATTCTCCTCTGGTAACTAGAGTGATATTTTTGGAACATAACCTTTGGGCCTCTCTGTGGTCTGCTCCCTTCCTGCCCATCCTCTCCAGCCTCACCTCTTCCACCATGGCCACCCTTCTGTGGGCCACCCAAGTGTGTGGTTGCCCCACATGTGCCCTGGGCCTGACTGCAAGCCTTTGCTTTTGCTGTGCCCTCTGCCAGCATCACTCTTCTATCCCCCTGCTTCATATCTGGCTTGTTACCCCGTTGGCTGGGTCTGGACTTGCCCTCTGGTGACCTGACTCATGTCTGCTGGCTGAGTGTGCTTATCCCCTATTTAAATGTAGTGCCCGCCTTCCCTGTGTGAGCAATTTACTAACCTGCCGGGTATGGGGCAGGCACAGGGAAATAGCCTTAGTGCCTATGCAAAAAAATCAGTCTCAGGGGGGCTCACCACACTTGCTGACAATGGGGGAGTTGCTGTCCTCACAGGGGGGAGCAGGTAGTACCCTTAAAGGGGGACCAGCCATGGGACGTGGTTGGACAAGACTTTGAACACTTTGGGGCCGGAGAGATGTAGACCTGGACCTGGCAGCTTACACCCTTGGATTCGAGCCTGGGGCCTAAGCAAGCCCCCTCTTCTTCCCGGTGTCGTCTTTTGCCTTCCCTGTCCACAGGCTGGACCTGATTCCTGATGTGGCAGAGTTTGAGGGTGACCCCTCCTAGGAATACCAGTGGCTTACTGAGCACCTTGTCAGCAGGATGCCCAGTAGCCTTCCAGGGAGGACCCTACAGGCAGTGGAGACAGGTCTGTGGGGGCCAGCGGCAGCCCACTCAAAGCAAAGTGGGACAGGTGGCCGGCCCTGCTGATTCTAGCCGCTCTGTAAGACATAGAAATGAGGGCTGCGCCCAAAGGTGCTTCCCTCCTGGAAGGTGGGGATGGGATCTGCAGGGGGGGCGGCCAGTGGAGGGCAGCTGCAGGGTTTGCCCAGGAGCTTAGCACAGGGGGAGTGTTCCTGGCTCCAGCATGCTGACTGTGGGACTGCATGGGTTTCCAGCCTCCGAAGCCTCAGTCTCCCCTTTGGAAGACAGGGTGCTGATGGCCCCCATCTCTGGGAACAGACATTAGGGAGGTCCTGCTGGCAGATTCCCTCAGGAAGGTCAGGAGGTGGCTGTTGCTTAAAGCAGCCCAGGGCCTGCCCCCTTGAAGAAGGTGCACACGTCCACGGCCCCCAACTCTGGGGTCCTGCTGCTAGCCTCTGGCAGTGACCCTCTTCCTGCCCTGTCCACTGCCCCTGTGGATACCTGGTCTTCCTGGAGCTGTTCCTGCAGACGGCAGAGAAGCACTTCATGGTGGGGCATGGGGTCACCTACTAGGTTTTCACCAATCAGCTGGCTGCCAGGACCCATGTACCCCTCTGGGTGGGCCGGAGCGTGGTGATCTTCATGGTGGACACAGGATCACTTACTACGTCTTCACCGACCAGCTGGTTGCTGTGCCCCGTGTGCCACTCTGGGAGGGCCAGAGGGTGGTGGTCTTCGAGGTCCGTGGCGTCCTGCACTGGCAGGATGTGTCCATGCGGCACATAGCGATGATCAGCCGCTTCTGCGAGCAGCGCTTCCTCTGTGACGTGGATGACCTGGTGTGCGTGGACGTGGATGTGGGAATGAAGTTCTGGGACCACATGGGCATGGAGATCCTGTCCCCCCTCTTTGGCAGCCCACACCCCGGTTTCTACTGGGCAGGCCATGAGGACTTTAGCTACGAGCGCTGGCCACAGTCCCAGACCCACATCCCCAGGGACCAGGGCAACTTTCACTACATGGGGGCCTTTTTTGGGGAATTGGTGGTGGAGGTTCCCCGACTGACCTTGGCCTGTCACCAGGCGATGGTGGTCAACTGGGCCAATGGGATTGAGGCTGTGTGGCCCGATAAGAGCCACCTGAACAGGTACCTGCTGGACCACAGGCCCACCAAGGTGCTGTCCCCGGAGGACCTGTGGGACCCACGGCTGCTGGGCTGGCCCCCCCATCATTCCCCGGGTCATGAAGAAGCTGAGATCCATGGCTGTGCCCAAAAATCACCAGGACACCCAGAACTCATGAGGGGCTGTCCCCGGAGGAGCTGTGGGACCTGCAGTATTGGGCTGTCCCTTGAAGGACCTGTGGGACCCGCAGCTGATGGGCTGGCCCCTGTCATGAAGAAGCTGGGAGATTCGGGCCATGCCCAAGAATCACCAGGACACACAGAACTCATGAGGGGCTGCCCCCAGCGGCCATGCAGGACCCACGGCTGCTGGGCTGGCCCCTGGAGGACCTGCGGGACCCGAGGCTGCTGGGCTGGCCCCCCATCATTCCCTGGGTCATGAAGAAGCTGAGATTTGTGGCTGTGCCCAAGAATCACCAGGATATCTGGAAGTCACGAGGGGCTGCCCCCGTCTCCATCAGGGGGTACTGCCTTGAGCGGAGCCGTCAGAGCAGATTCCTACTTCTGTCTCCTTGAGGGAAACTGTGGAGCCCAGCACTGCTTGCATGGGCACGCCAGTGCCCCAACCACCCCAGCGCACAGGAGGCCTGCCTGGGGGCACAAGTTCCTCTCTTTGTGGTCACTACATTTTGATCATTTCGGGGTCATTTGCAGCTGTGAACGGCTCCAGTTTTATGTCAGATGTTTTTCTGTGTCAATGCTGAGCAACCATCTTTAAAAAGAACAATTGAG